CCTGCACCTGGGCTAAGGTGCAACTCCATGCTCCCCTCAGGCTCTACACTGCGTACTCTGAGGGGCTCCGAATCAGACTGCCGAGAGAGAAGTATGAGTTGTTGATTTTCCTTCTAACAGAAAGTTACAGTGTGAGTCGAAGATCAGAGAGTTAGCTTAAACGCATGGATGAAATTTGTTTAAGGAAGTATTTACCTGACATTACCTTTGTTCTTTAGAACTCCAGTGGTAAACTAACTGACTTCCTGAGCTTCTACACACTCCCCTCCACAGTCATGCACCACCCTGCTCACAAGAGCCTGAAGGCTGCTTACTCCTTCTACAACATTCACACGGAGACGCCGCTGCTGGACCTCATGAGTGATGCGCTCATTATAGCCAAACTGGTGAGAGACTCGCTCCTTTTTGTCCTACATGTTTCTCCAAAGATGAATGTCAACGTATATAAAACATCTTATTGTATTTTCTTCCACACAGGTGGGATTCATTTGAGATATTTTTTTTGATTGACTGTTAACCATCAATCAAAGGAAGAATTTTGATAAGAGTTTCTTTTAAAACATTAATGGCTGTTTTCATCATTAATTCTATTGCAATGTAACCAAAAAGACATTTTACACAAATTAGAAACTTGTTTTTAAACCTTATATAAGAATACATATAAGAAAAATACACAATCCCACGATATAAGGAAAATACATCAGTGTGTGTGTAACAGGGAATAATTAGCAACAATAAGTTTTTTGACAACTAAAAACAGTTTCTGAATTCTAAAGCTAAGAAATTTTATTTTTAAAATTAAAGGGATTGTTATTAAAGGAGTTTAAAATGAAAGGAATTAAATTCAAATTGTGCCTTACTATATCTGCATTATTTATTTCCTCAGTGTAGTAGTTAATTGTTAAATTCTTGCTACAAATAAACATTTTCAACTCTTCCCAAAAAGGCCAGTAAGAAGTTATTTAAGGTAAAAACCCTGAGAAATAGAAATTTAGCTGCTTCATCTATATCACATTTTGTATATTATTATCTAACATTTTAAAGAAATTCAATTTTTACTTTTAAAATTTTACTAATTTATTTCACAGTTATCAGTCCAAAAGAAATATACAACTTAAAGTCTTTAAAACTTTGGCTTTTTAGCTGTAGCTTCCGCTAAGTCAGAACTTAGAAAGGCCAAGAACTAACAATTCTGGAGATGGAGCCAACTGCTCCTTCTAAAACAGGGACAAAGTATTTTCTGAAATCTTTATGGATTATTTTATGTCAGTGGTAGCCAGCATACTACATTTTTTGATTCAGCATTTCTGGCTAATCTTGCTGACTCCATCAGATCCCTGCTAGTTTTCTAAGACAGTTTTGAACTGAATTCTTAACCTATGCTATATATGGCAGACATTAAACCTTATTATACATGCATATTCAAACTACTAGTAGAGGAATTAAACGTTATACTGAAATACATGATAGAGAAAATGTGCTAGTCCTTTGAAATTTTAAATTTTAAATCCTTTTTACATTGGCAGAAAGGATTTGATGTATTCAATGCACTAGATTTGATGGAAAATAAGACATTCTTGGAAAAACTCAAGTTTGGTATAGGAGATGGCAATTTACAATATTACTTGTACAACTGGCGGTGTCCAGGAACAGACTCTGAAAAGGTAAGAGAAGTTGATATGCCCTCTGTAAACTGAATAAATTTACCAAGAAACCTCATGCTTGCTTCCCTTCGGATTAGTAAGTTTTAGTAGCTTTTTAAAAATACAGATCTATTCTACTATAATTTAATTTTCTTGCTTACCTGTTCTTACTATTCCATTTCTTCCCTCCCTGTAGGTTGGACTTGTATTACAATAGATGGATATTTCTATTTCTAGAACTCTGAAACCATCATGTGTTAATATTCCATTTAATGATTCCTGGAACTGCCATTCCAAAGAAGAAAAAAGCACAACTTAAGTGAAATCGATGTAGTTGGTAACAATCAGAAAAGATGAAAAAACATCGCTATGTGACCAGTAGTCCACATTTCTAGCTAGAACATTAAGATTCATCCTTTTTTTCACTGTTTACTTATTTGTAGGAGGGACGAAAGGGTACAAGGAGCACATTCCTCTAATTTTCAACTTTTCGCTGTCCCTTGATGAAGAGAAGGTATTTTTCCACTCTCTAGAAAAGGGACTGTTTTTCTTGGGACTGAACAGACGTCACAGAATCGTGACTCTTGCGTGGAGATAAACTGCTGCATTTTTATTTATTAAGTGGTGGTCCTTTTGTCTGTGTAACAGAATGAAGCATCCATTTGGAAACTTTTCTTGAATCACCTTACATGATGTCATTGAGAACGTTTATGGAATCAGCACTTCTGTCACTCAGTGATGAGTGGTGGATGTTTAAGTGCAGAGCAAGGTAGAAATGTACTGGTGACTAGTACATTCATTTCTCCCGAAGAAAAGTTGCCAAATGAATAAACACACAGATTTGTACTTTGATCTTCAACAGGTCAGTGGATTGCTTCAAGAGCAAACTTTTGTGCAAACATCAAGTGTGCTCTCTCAAAGAGTACACGCCTGTGACAGACTTTGCTGCTGCTGCACAGACTCATTTCTTCTCGGCAACAGCAAGGATATGTGAGGAAAAGAAAATAAAAAGTTCTAAAGTCAAAAGAAATGCCCGGTGGAATTTATTAGTTCTATCAGGACATTGATAGTTCGAATGTTTTTTATTACTTATGCGAAATTGCACATATTCCTTTATGCTGACTTTAATTTATCATGAAACTTGTCATGCTAATGGAAGATGTCTTATTTGTAAATAAGTATTCATAATTTTGTTACTGATTGTTTTTATCTAGAATTTGAAAAACTAAGTTTCTCAGTGTACATAGAGATGTATATATTGCCAATAGTCCAAGGGGAAAAAGATGCTGGATGTGGCCACATCAGCTGGCCTTGACTCAAATTCCACAGAGTAGATACTTCTTCCTGCCTTTACTGTACCAGGGCCTCAGCTGTTCAGTCCAGAAAAACTGAAGTATTTCAGACGACATGATGGCCTTTCCTTCATGTTACAAGTGTCAAATGAAATCAACCATATCTTATCCCAGGCAGGAGCTAGCAAACTATGGCCCACAAGCCAAATCCAGCCCATTGCCTGTTTTTGTACAGCCCACCAGCTAAGGATGGTTTTTACATTTTTGAATGGGTGGGGGGAGAAAAAACAAAAGATGAACATTTTGTGATGTGTGAAAATTAAACAAAATTCAAATCTCAGCTTCCATAAATAAAGTTGTATTCGAACACAGCTGCACTCATTTGTTTGTGTATTGCCTGTGGTTGCTTCATGCTATAAAAGGCAGAGTTGAGTTGTCCCGATGGAGATTGTAGGGCCTGAAGACCTACTTACTATCTTGCCCTTTACAGAAAAAATCTGACCAGTTTACACCAAGGAGCTGTAAGCCACTCTGCAGCTTGCCGTTGTCACAGAAACCAACCCCCAGCTGTGGCATCCCTGAGACCACCACTAGAGGGTGTGCGTGGGCCCCACAGTGGTGCGTAATTGGGACAGGGCTGTTTACTTTGCTGAAGACACAAAGGAAGACTTCTCACAGGGGAGGGTCAAGTCCAGTTGCATGACCCTTCTCTCTTCACAGAAGGAGAATGGCTTCAGAAGCAAACCTGTACCAATTCACCGGAACATTTTTTGAGACACCAGCAGTAAGTAAACGAGATTTTAACATAATCTGGAGTCAAGGTTGTAGTTGGGAATTATGTTCCACTCATTTTTATGGCACAAAGTCTTATATGAAGTAGGTTTTCAAATAATTGCCAGTCATAAACTTTGCCACAAGATTACCTCATTTTGAAAATGTGACATTGTTCCTTTACCCATTTACATAATTCTGATTGTTATGGAATTCATATTCTTTTACTGTCATTTTAAAATAGTTATTAATAACTAGCACATTTGCCTCTTTATAATTTAAGATTACCAATGGAAATTTTAAAATAGACCATTGGTAAAACTGTTTACAAAGTAGCTATTAGAACTAAATTTCAACGCAATAGTGTTTTATAGATTCAAAAAAACTAGAATGTCCTGCATCCTTTGTCAATAATGGAAATGCTCTATTCCATGAGGCAGCCTCTCACCCCTTCTTTTTTTGCCAAGAAAGCACTCACTAAGATTTAAATGAAAGGGAAGTGGTATAATTTATGAGTCAACCAGAAAATAGGCTGAAAATAAACTCTGGCAATCCAAAACCTTCCCCCTAAATTACAGAAAGTAACTTTTCCAAACACACACTGTCAAGAGCAGACACTTTCACAGCAACACAGAGCATTGATTATGCTCCATTTCCTAACATGGAGCACCCCAGTCATTGCAGACTCACCTCTGCGCATCCAAGCTCCTCAGTTTTTTCTTCTCTTCCCGCCACATTTCACCTAATTACCATCTTATACACGTTAAATTTCCAAGGAAATAAATTAACCATGTAAAGGGATGAATTCTAACTAGTCAAAATACCTTATCTATTTATCTACGGCTTTTTCTCTAAGTATCAAGCCGTTCTCCCAAGCCCATACTTATGCCTACCTACAGAGAAACTAACATTGACAGGAAGTAAAAAGGATGAATTGTTTCTGAAGACAATATATTGCTTGGCGTTTAGTATCTTTCCTTTAAAACTGATAATACATCCACAATCTGGTTTCATCCACTCCACTAACCAGAACCATGTGTAGTGTGGCACATTTTCCAAGTTTGATAGAAAGATGTTAAGGGCTGTAGGATACAGATGTTCTTGCTTACAAGCATCGTACCAGCCTTTTAAAAAGTGAATTAATGCAAGCATGGACATGTTTCAATCAACTTCTGTTTGATATTCATACTTCCGAGTAATTTTTGTACTTAGTGTTTTTAAACTACAGCATAGCTGTGCTGTACAAAAAGTCTTACACAACTGAAAAGAACATTACCAAACAATATCCCAACAATATGTGTAAAAGTAACTCATTTTAATAGTTTCGAGGTTCTTTCACAAGGTCTCATTTTACAACTGTAAGAAATGTCAAGTTTAAATGGGATTACTTTGAAGTCGTTTTTTTACTCTTGGGGGGTTTCCTTATCTTATTGGGGTTTGGAATCAGTTTCTTTATCTTAAGCGGTTGTAACACCACAGCCTGCTGTCCTTCAACGGGCTTTCTCTTACATTTAGAGACGTCTTCAAAGGAAGTTTCCAAAAGCTCTTTGTCTTGGCTTTCCAAAGATTCAGGCTCTAAGTTGTCCCTGGAGGCTTTGAGGCTGTCTTGAAGCCACGCTACATTTAATCTGGGCACTCTGGGAATTATAGCTTCTACCTCATCCACAAAGGCAGTGGTGTTCTTTTTGAAACCCAAAGCCAGGACACATTTTAAGCCGATGACAGGGGCAACCCTCTCACTGAGCCGGGGAACCTGGCAGGCAGGAACGGTTCTGCTCACGCTTAACTGAATCAGGTGGGAGGTGATGATGGCAGGCTGCACTGACTTGCACACCAGGACTAAGAGCAGCTCGCTCCTCTCCAGAGCTCTGGTGACCTCATTAACACCGATGGCCAGCTGCTTCCTGACGTGGACAGGGGTCCACCCTGACACTTGGTGCTCGCCTTCTGGCTGCTTCTCCGTCTCCTCATTGATATCAACATCTATGCTACATTTGTCTCTGCTTTGTTTTTTTAAAAAAGGCTGCTTTTTCTTTCTCTTCTTATCCTCGATCTTCTGCAGTCCAACAGACCGAAATCTGTCTTCGAGTGTCTGTAATATGAAGAGCATATCCTCTCTCTCCAGAGGGCTCCAGCAGAGAGTATACGGGTTGTTCAACGATGTCTTTACTGTTAAAGGTCTTGTCTTCCGAACAGAGCCCCTCGCTGGTGCCCGCGGAGCTGCGGCCATTCTGAACACCCTTCACAGAGAGGGAACAACAAAGGGAATCCCTGTGAGCTCTCAGCGTGTCACTTCAGACGACCTGGGTGGTATCTCTGATTCTCGAAAGCCTGATCATATAGGACCAATTATCGGAGCAGACACATAACCTTTCTTTAAGTAATTTATTTTCTCCATTTTTTCATGACACTGTCTTTACTCATATACAGGCAATATATGAATGTTTTGCCTTACTGCATTCACAGTGAAATTCTATTTCTTTATTTCATTTATTTAAAATGTTCCACGTTTCTACTGGTTCATTAATTATTTATCCATTGAATGACTGGATGGTATTAACCTTAGAGGTTTGGCACCATTTTCGAAACTGCTTTCCAGTTAGGCTTCCAGTCATCCATAAATACATACTCGCTGACACCTCCAATGTGCAGGCCGTGGTCTCGGCCCGGGAGTTCAGCAGGGAGCGGTCCCCACGTCCACCCACCCAAGTCCCCGTATCCGCCTGCACGGAGCTGGGGAGCGGGGGCCATTCATGGTTAAACAGGTGTGACTCTCTGAATGGGAACTGTAATATACGCACATCATTAAAATTCAAAGCATCCTTTCATTCCATGCCCTTCCGTAAGTCTCCGTCCCCCCCAGACCCTAGCCTTTTGCATCTCTCTCCTAAAACATCTGATACACAGGCAGGAGTGTATGCCCCTTCCTATGGCTATTCCAAGCAAACTTCTCCTCCAGTTGGCAATTTGATGAAAACTAGGGAAATTTTGTACTGAAATTTAAAGATAGTAATCCATTGAGGAAAAATAGTAAGAAGGATCCTTACTGGGAAATATTATAAAGCACTGGTCTATGGAGCATGTGCTGTTTCTCCTTCCCAGAGGCAACTGCATTTCTCTTTCCTCCCTTTTCTTCCTCACCTTCTTCCTGAGGCTCAACTAAGAACACAGGGACCCACGTGGCAAAACTAAAGGAAGTGAAACAAGCCAGCCCTGGAGCAGTCTGGAGTTTGGAAGTGTCGCTACTACCAGGTAACCAGACTTTCTCCTTCCAGGTCATTTATCCCGCCGAGGCCAGCCTCTCCTGAACTGCCCCAACGAGGATTAAGAATCAAGTCCTCTCCCTTTAAACTTCCACTGACTAGGCTGGCTGCTGATGGAGAGGAGCAAGCGACTTTGTGGGGTGTGCTGGAATTTATGAGGCACCTTCTCCATGTATTAATTGACTCACAAAATTCCTGTATAATTGTCCAACACGTGGACGAGGGCACAGACTCAGGTTAAATACCTGGCCCAAAGTCACAATCGGTTTCCCACATCCAAATTATATGCTCTTTCCATCATGGCTGCAGCTCAAAACTAACACATGGCCTTTTAAAACATACAGGTGGCTGGTCCTTACCCCAGAAATACTGAATTGGGATCCCTGGGAATAGGCCCAAAGCATCTGTATGTGTAAAAAGCTGCCCAGGTGACTCTGATGCAGAAGCAGAATTAGGAACGGCTGGCAGAGGACAGGCAGCCTTTCCACACTGGCAGCACTGGGAATGGTCTCGTGACCTCTACTGGCCTCCAGTGTTCCTCCTCAGTCACCTTCTAACAGAAGACCAAAATTGAGCCCCTCAGGGTAAAGAAGTCAGGCCTTGTTCATGTCAGTGTCACCCACTGCTAGACACTCAGGGTCTGCGGCCTAAGCCTCTTTCTTCACACCAGCCCCACCGAGCAGCGCTCCCAGCCCCCATCCACTCCACGCCCCCCTTAAGCTCAGGGAATCAGGAAGGAGCTCACAATCCAGTGATGACTGGCAGAGGCTGGCACCACGTTTACGGTGGCCAGGAAGATGAGCAAGGCAAATAGGAGCCGACAGAGCTCTTGCCAAAATGCCAGTCAGTTAATGAGTCTGAGCATTCAAACAACACAGAATCCTTAGATAAATACTTACAGTTAAGTGCCCTGGAGGGAGAGCAAGGCCAACCTTAACGCCTCCTGTCTTCAGAACCTGCTGGGGGAGAGGAGAGCCAGTTTGGACAAGCAGAACCTTATGTCACTGAATCCAAAAACTAAGTACTGACTGATAAGGAGAAAGAAGAGTGAACTCTCTAAGGCCCTCCACACCCTGGCCCCCATCTTCCCACCAGCCTTCTCCTTACCTGCCACACCATGCCTGTTACACCCCTCCACTGAACCACAGACTACTGAAGGAGGCCACCGGTTTCTCACCTCCATGTCTTCATACAAACAACTCCCTCTGCCCCAACACCATCTTTCTTACTTCAGCAAGTATTTCTGGATTAGCCACAATGCACCAAGCCATAAAGTATTAAAGTAAAAACAGTCAGTGGACTCCCCGAGCTTAGAATCTATGAGGAAGACGTATCAGGAATTAATAATACAATACGATGTGGTGCACATTAAGGTCAAGAAACAACAGGACACTAGGGAAACGTACAGCAGTTGAGGGGTCAGGACTTAGTTGAGGGGTCAGGAAGCGTCTCCTGTAGGAAGTGACTCTGAACCTTTATCTGAATAATGCCTACTAAAGGGAGAACGAAGGAGAAAGAGAGTATCCCAGGGAACAGCATTAAGGAAAAGGAAAAGAGCTGAACGTCGCCAGGACAGATGCTAGAGAGAGGTGAGACATCAGGCAAGGTAGGTAAAGACGAGACGGGGAAGGTCCTTGCAAGCTTTTAGTGGCAAGCGACTGTAACGCTGAAAGCACAGGGGCACGATTAGAAAGGCACTGAGGAAAGATCTTCCCGAAGTCGGGCCTGGAAGGGTCCTTTGCCGAGACGGGAAGCAGCAAACGGCTCCTGGAGTCGTCCTGGGAAGACAGGACGGTGGCCCGCACTAGAGTCGCCGCAGAATGGACGGACAGAAGTACATGCTAGTTTAAATAGTGGAGAGAAAATCCTGGACTTAGTGATCAACGAGGGGTAAAGCAGAGAGAGGACTGAGGGAATCCTCCTGGGCTGTGGATCCGGTTGCGGGGGGAGGGGAGCCCCAGGTCCCAGGGGCTGCAGTCCTGACCCTGAGTTAACCCCTCCCCGGGACGCCGCCGCTGTATCTCCAGCCTTCGATTTACTCTTTAGCGTTCGCGGTTCTCTTCGGTTGTCGCCCGAAAGTTCTAGAGTCCCGAAGGGCCAGGACGGGGCTTTATCCTAGTAATTCTGGGACCCAACACACATTCAACACAGGCGGGGTGCGGAGCGCCAGCCAAGGCCCGGAGGCAGGAAAATACAGGAGTCGGGGCGGGGGCGGCCAGGCGGGGTGGGTGGAGGCCCTGGAGACCCGCGCGCCGGCTCTGCGAGTACCGACCGGACCCACCCGTGCGACCCTCCAGCCCGGCGGCCCCGGCCGGGCTCCCGCTCCCGAGCGCGGCGGCGCCGGCTCCACGTGCAACGCGCGTGCGCAGAGCCCTCGCCCTCCCGACTCCGCCCTCCACGCGCTCAGAGAACCTCACATTTCCTCCTTCTGCATTATAACGGTCGCTCCGGATGGAAAAGGTCGGCGCACGGCGTCGCCAAGCCCGGGAGCCCCAGAGCGACGCCGGACGTCTGGAAACCCTGAAGCTCGGGAGCGGGGGTGGAGGCAGAGGCTCGGGAAAGTGTCTTCGGGCTGCAGTGCGCAGGCGCAGTGTCTGTCTCGCGAGACCGCACGGTTGCCCTGGTAACCGTCTGCTCGCGTCTCCCCTACCTGCTCTGGGGGCCTGTGTACTGCCCGTAACGTCCTGCAGGCCGTTCCTGTCACCTGGCATCCTCTCCTTTCCAACCCAGTTTCTCCCTTTCCGCGCCTGGCAGCCTCAGCCCTCTCGCTCCTCCCCCTTCTGTGTCGGACTTGCCCCAGGGACGCAGATCCCTGTCCCAGCGCCGCCGTCTCCATCGAATCCCCGCCGAATCCCCAGCAGCAGGAAAAGCAAGACAAACGGGAGACGAAGGGTGGATTGAGGGGAAACAACGAGCTGACAGGCGACAGTGTGGGCGATCTTGAGCCCCCTAAAGAGGAGGAGAGTAAAGGCTGCTCTGAGCGCTGCGACTGCAGTTCAGAAACTCCGCATGTCCGCCCCAACCGGTGGACACGAGCGGTGACAGCGGAGTCGCTGCGAACTCGCGCACAATTGCACGACAGCTGAAGACCATTTTCAAGGTCAGGCAGCTGAGTCTGTTGCTTTGCCCTTGGCAAGAACTTAGACGACAGTGGATTGCTTCTGACCTCAGGAGCCGCCTCGCTCCATGCCTCCTTTCCGGTTCTTTTCCAGTCTGACTGAGCTGCTCTTCCTTTTCCTCTTCTAATCATCTTCTTCCCTTTCTGAGTGACTTCGCTGCTCGTTTTGTTTCCCATTTTTTGGTCTAGTTTCTATCTTTTCAATTTTCATCAACTACATAGTAGCTAACTGGCCATAAGGTAAAAAACCATAAAGCAAAAAACCATGTTGCTTTTTGTCCAAGATTATTGCAGGTTACACAGGGTAAAGTTCAGTGTGATTTTTAAAATCACAATTAGAAAGATTAAAAATAAAGTTAGAGGGGTCCCGCCTGTGACTGAGTGGTTAAAGAGTTCCCTGCTCCACTTCCTCAGCCTGGTGTTCTTGGCTTGGGATCCCAGGTACAGACCTACTCCACTCTCAGCCATGCTGTGGAGGCATCCCACATACAAAACAGAGGAAGATTGGCACAGATGTTCCCTCAGGGCCAATCTTCCTGACTTAAAAAAAGAAAGAAAGAAATTTACAATGAGTTTGAGTGTAACTACAGACTTTATTTCATAAAATGAATCCTGTTGTTTCATTGTGATGAACTGGAAACACATAATTCTAAATTAGTCTTAGAGCTAGCTTTTAAGCTGTAAGACGAAGAGAGACACACACGTATAATGGAAATACTACAATAATGAGAAGGAAATGTGTATAAGGTTTTGGTCCCCTAAGGTTTCAGATTTATGGTTCCAGTCTGTATAGTTAGATTTATAGCATCATCTCAATTTGCATTTGTTCTCTGAAGATTGCCTGCCATTACATTGCCTGGCTCTGGAGCCAGGCTGCTGAGGTTGAAAGCCTAACTTCATCACTAACCAGGCTTGTGACCTAAACCAAGCTACTTAACCCTCTCTAGGAAGGGATAATAATGGTCCCTGTTGTGAGGATTAGAAGAGATCATCTGTGTAAGGTGCTTGGCACAGTTCCTGGCCCGCAGAAAGTGCTTGATAACGGTAACTGTGTTGAATGCAGTGAGACGCTGAATTAAGAAATCAGTTAACAGGGGCAGGACCCAGTGGCGCAGCAGTTAAGTTTGTGCGTTCCACTTTGGCAGCCTGGGTTTGCCGGTTTGGATCCAGGAATGGACCTACATCCCACTTATCAAGCCATGCTGTAGCAGGCGTCCCACATGTAAAATAGACAAAGATGGGCACAGATGTTAGCTCAGAGCCAATCTTCCTCAAAAAAAAAAAAATTAGTAATTAAAAACAGAATTCAGTTAATCAAAATTAACTGTAGCCTCTATAATTTTAGCACTTGTGTTCTGTTTTAAGACTAGCAATAAAATTTCCACAAGAATGTTGCTAAAATGAAAAACTGCACTTCAAAGGTCATTTCTCTCCCATTTGTATCACACAAACATGCCAACAAAAAAGTGAGAAGAAAAAACGTTTGCCATGACTCAATTACCTCAAAACACGTTTCCTCTCTGTGTTCGCTTCTAATTTGTTTCACATTTATGTGTCCACTGACATTGTTAAAATAACATAAATTAAATTTGGGGTTCTGGTTTTCATTCAATATAACATTTTCCCATGTTTTCCAAGCATGGTTTTCAAATTATCACTTTAACACGTATACTGCATATCCTTTACTGAATGATCAGTTTCACTTTTTAATGACAGCTGTTAGTTATTTTATTGTAGAAACTCAGCGTAACACACCATCATCTCCGCCACCACCTCTCAGCCCTCCTGTGCTCAGCAGAAACTGAGAAATGGGAGGAGAAACACATCCCACACGATAGGGAGGCCTCATTCCAGGAGGAATTGCAGGGCGTGCCACCAAGGCTAGGGCAGACTCAGTCAAGCCTTGCCTACATGGCTACAGGGGGACATAAAAGGGTGCCGGGGCCTTGGCAGAGCTGTCTTTTCAAGGAGGAATTTGAAAGACCTTAAATCAGATGGTAACAAGTTTTTAATAGACTAACTTTTAGAGTTGTTTTTTTCTTAAGGGAAAGGCCTAACGTGATGTGATGCTAGCCTTTTGATTTTCCATAGATCCGAAAGAGCCAGCACCAATTTTGGGAGTAAAGTATCCATGTGATATAAAATATAGGCTGCAAGCAACTGTTCAAAATATGCCAGAGATGTACTTGAACAACCCATATAGTTTTAAAATTAAAGTACAGATATTTTTATGAATTAAATTATCACAGAATACTTTCTAAAGCAGTATGAGAATAAGTGATTGAGAAGTACTTTTAAGATAGAAATGTGTACATATGTCTGTGTATATGTATTAAGTAAAAAATACAAATAACATTTTACTTTGTTCAATATCTATTTATTTACTTGTTTATGTTTTGCTGAGGGAAATTGGCCCTGAGCTAATGTCTTCTCCTTTTTGCTTGAGGAAGATGGTCCCTGAGCTAACATCTGTGCCATCTCCCTCTACTTTGTATATGGGACACTGGCACAGCATCACTTGATGAGCAGTGTGTAGGTCCGTGCCCAGGATCCAAACCTGTGACCCCTGGGCCACTGAAGCAGAGCACAAGACCTTAACCACTACCCCACCAGGCTGGCCCTGGTTGAATAGTTAGTGAGCATCTTTTATGTGCTAGATGCTCCATACATAAGGAGGAGGCAACTGTTTTTCTTTCTTCCCTCCCTCTCTCCCTCCATCCCTTCCATCCTTCCTTCTTCCCTTCTTTCCTTTCTTCCTTCCTTTTTTCCTTCATTTTTTCAACAGATGACAGTATTTATTGAATTCTAAGTGTTGTGGATAAAGCAGTCAACCAAAAAAAGTTCTAATGGAGGAGACAGACAAACAGAAAAAGTAAAAGATATTATGTCAGATGATGAAAACTGCTGTGGACAAAAACAAAGCCAAGCAGAGAGGAAAGGGGTGATGGGGTGGGTGACAAAAACCTGAGAGGTGACATCGGAACAAAGACCTGGAAGAGGTGAGGGAGTGAGCTGAGCAGACACCCGGGAAGGGTGTTCAGGGGTGAGGGCCCTCAGGCAGGAGTGCGCTGAGCCTGTTGGAACACCAGGGAGGCCCATGGAGCCAGAGCCTTTGAAGAAAGGGGAGGATAGGAGGAGGGGGGGGAGGGAGGGGTACGAGCTTGTAGACCGGGCTAAAGATACTTTTTGTCTTGAAGGCCTCCTGGAGGAGGTGCCATCTAGGCTGAGTCTTGAAAGAGGACTCGGCGGGTGAAGAAGGCAGGAGAAGGGCATTCTGGACAGTGGAGCTGCAGCGGCCATCTATAAGCCTGGAAAACAGGGAAGTTAAGTAGCTGAGTATTCCTGGGGCAGAGTGTGTATGCGTGCGGGAAGGAGAGCCATGAGACTGTGGACCACCACTTATGTTATGCAGGGACTCTTCTGAGAAAGAGAGCTAAGCTGTCATATCAGATACTAGATCTCAGCCCTGGCTGCATCATTCCTGATGTTTGCTCCCTAGCCCACAACCTTGCACTCAGAATCTCTGGAGCTGGGAATCTGGTTTGCGTTTGTGTTTTTCCTTCCAGATGATTGGATGGGCAGGCAGAGTTAAGAAGTGCTCATCTTGACACGACTAGCCAAAGCAATCTAAAGATTCAGTACCATTCCTATCAAAATCCTAAGGGACTTTTTTTTGCTGAAATAGAGAAAACCCATACTAAAATTCATATAGAATCTCAAGGGGCCTCATGCAGCCAAAATAATCTTGAAAAGAACAGCATCAGAAGACCCAACTTCCTGATTTTAAAAACGTACTACAAAGCTACAGTAATCAAAAGAGTACGGTACTGACATCAAGACAGACACAGAGGCCAATGGGATCGAATAGAGAGCCCTGAAACAAACCCTCACATATGTGGTCAATTAAGTTTTGAGAAAGGGGCCAAGACCATTCAGTGGTGAAAGGACTATCTTTTCATCAAATGGTGCTGGGAAAACTGGGTATCCACATGGGAAAGAATGAAGTTGGACCCTTCTACAAAAATGAACTCAAAATGGATCAAAGATCTAACCTTAAGAGCTAAAAGCTTCAAACTCTTGAAAGAAAACATAGGGGAAGATTTTCATGGCACTGAATTTGGCAATGCTTCCTTGGATAT